GACCCAGGGAAAAGTAAAGGTGGGCCTAAAGAGGTGAATCTAAGTTTAACTTTTTTTCCTTCTTATCTATCCTTTGGAATCCCAAACCTTTCTCTCCGGACATCGGCCTAACACCAGCCTGGCACGGAATTAATTTATGGCTACAGGCCTCTGGTTAATTGCTTTTAAGGGAGATGGGGAAGGAGAATGGTGTGCTCTTTAGAAAGTAAGTTAACCCTTTAGAATAGAGTGCACTCTTACAGGTATAGTTATACATTATGTGAAACATATCTATATCTCTATAAAATATATAGAGAATATAAAATTGTGTACTAAAATAATGCCCTTCAAATCTTTCTGTAAGACATGTGTATGTCTCCTAAAGTGGACCCACTGGAATCATTAAGGCCAGAGTGGTAGTCTTCACTGGCTTTCCCCAGTGGAAGGTTGTGGCTGGGCTGTGGGATTATGGCCAGGGCAAACCCCCCCCCCCCCCCAAGCTTCCTGCTGCCACTCAGGTTCCATCAGTCAGATTCCATTTCCTTGTCTTCTCAACTGCTAGCCCACTGATTCCAAGCAGGGATGTCTGCAATATATGGTCAAAAAAGTCAAGATGGTGGCAGTGACATTGAGATCAAAGCTCTATATTTTTTAGGTGGAACCTGAATTGCATCTCTACTTTTTTGACCACACTCCACAGACACCTTGATTTCAAGGCCATGCTTGAAGATCCCATCAGCACAGGCTGTTCCAAGTCCTCATCAGCTGGACCTAGAGATCTGATGATTCAGATTGTCATTCTGAGATACACTTAAACTTTCTCCTTAGACTGAATAATTGTTACCAGCATGAGTTGGGCCCAAGCCTATGCATCTGGTTCCTCCGACTTGATGGCCTCTAGATTGTCCTCACCCTTGACCCACTATCTCTGGGCCTCTTCCTCCTCTGTTGGCATTCTCAAACTCAAGCTCTGTCCAATTTGAGCCATCCAGTTTCAATTAAATTGAGACCCAAACTCTCCTTCCCCTGGCTGAGTTCTGATACAGATCACTGTGTTCACTCATATACTCATCCAGGCTGCAGTGGGGTTGGCCCATTTTGTGTTGGGCTTACTGTGGGACCCAGCCATTGTCTGTGTGCCATTCCATTAAACCAGAATATGATTTATTTGGAAGGCTTTGCCTCTCACATGCTCACAACCATGGTGTTTTTGTTCATCCAGTTTGAGGGTTTAGCCTGCAGGATGAACCCAGCCTTTCTCTCCCTCCTTGCATAGGAAACTCAGGAGCTCCAGAAGAAGCAGCAGTGGTACCAGCAGAACCAACTCAACATGACCTTGGAGGATGAAGATGCCTATCTGAACTACTGCTCAGATGCCATGTTCCGCATCCGCATCTTGGAGATCCGACTCAGCAGGTGCTGTGAATGGGATTTAAGCCCAGACAGTGTAGGGATGGGAGCAGAATTCCAGGCCACTGAAACACACAGTCCCTCTCTGCTGTGTTGATTCATACAGTTGCTTTTTTAGAGAGAATAGACTAGACTAGACTAGACTAGACTAGACTAGACTAGACTAATCTTCTGCAAACTCTAGCACTGTTACTGCAAAGAGTAGCCCCACATTCTTACTAGAAGAAGTCTGCAATATAGACATTCATCTAGTTTCACAGAATCATACAGCGAGAAAGATTGTCGAAGGTCATTTTGTCTGGCCCCATTCAAAGAAGGATCTAAGAAATTAGATCAGACAACAGCAGAGGTTGGGCAACCTTTTTGCTTCTGGGGTCTCACACAGAAGTGGGCTGGGAACAGCTGGGATGTTCATAACATTTCCCCTTGCCCATCCACTGAAAGCCCAGGCTGTGTTCATACAGCCTGCTAGACTAAACTCAAATGGCATTGATTCACACACCCTGAACCAAGCCACCTCATTAAGTCGTAATATGGTTTATTTTATTTTATTTTATTTTATTTTATCTTATTTTATTTTATTAATTGAAATGTGTATGGCCGCTCATCTTAAAACACAACTCTGGGTGGCTCACAACAACAATAAAACCCAGAACTATTGAAGCCATAAAACATAAACCACAAATTTGGCTTGAGTTTTATTTTTTACATGAATACAACCACTGTATTTTGTTAACTTAGTATTTAGCATGGTACAAATGCAGCCATTTATGCTAGTAGATCTTAGCAGTAGCAAGAGAACTCCAGGATGAGTTAAAACCTCCCCATTCTCCTGTAATTTAAGTGGAGATTGTGATCCCCTGCTGCTAATATTCCCACCATAGACTCCTCTTTTTTTCTCTGCCATCTAGCTGATGACTAATACACGGTACCATACAAATTCTCCTTCCTTTTCTTCCCACACTTGACTTTAGTTGAATTTTTTGTAATTGTCCTTATCTGCCATGTTCGATTTTAATCGGCATTGTTAAAAAAAAATGTTTTCCTCGGCATGGTGAGTGATTAAAGTTTAAAAGGTGTTAAAGGGTCTGAAGGTATTGTCAGATTTCACGTTTGTTTCCATCTCATGGCATGAGAGGGCACCATTGTTGGCCTGTGCTTAAGGCAGCGCTTCTCAACCTTGGCAGCTTGAAGAAGTGTGGACTTCAACTTCCAGAATTCCCTACCCAGTAAAATTTTATTTTACTTGAATAAAAAAAAATGGGGAAAAAACAGGATACTCTACGGCCCTGACTCTTCTATCAAAACCCTTGAATCCTAATCCTATCACACTAATCTTTAACCCAAATCTGCTGTTTCCAAGAAACAAACCTGATTGCAGCAGTGAGCCATTCTGTTTTCTATCTTCTGTATGGCAGCTGCCCAGATATTTGAAGATGGCTGTCACATCTACGTCTAATCTTTAATCTTTTCTTATCCAAAATAAGCATGGTCAGTTCTCTGAATCGCTCCTTGTAGGACTTTGTTTTGGAAGGGGGGGGTCTTTTTAACAATGAAAATAAGGATGACAACAACAAAGGGCATCTCATACACAGTTAGATGCTACCTTGATAATTTCCAAGACTTTTGTGATGGAATGTATCTATGAGGAGGAGAGTGATGTGGGAGATCAAGGCTGTCAGAAGGAGGGGAAGCAGGGGAAAGGAGGCAAAAGGCAACGCGGTCTGCAGGGGGAGCGTGGGAGAAGTAAGAGGTTCAGGACAGCCCTTCCCTAGACTCTCCCAGGGTATATCCACTAGTTGCAATAGTATGGACTGAGTCTGGCTTGATTCTGTCTATAAGGCGTAAGCAAATAAAGGAACTGTACTCGACTGGACTGTTTCATCATTATTGGGCTGGGCCTGACAACTTTAGATATGGCTTGAATCATGAAAAAAAAACAGCCAACATCAGGGGTAACACACAGTTAGTGGCACTGGAACAGTAATTGCTTTTCTTTCTTCCCCAGGCATAAAGAGAAAGCACCACTGAGATACATGGCGTTGGAAGAGAAACTTTCCAAGGACCCTCGTCTTGCTGAACACCTCAAATTTTATATTTAATTTCTTTCTTTGAGTCATTTCTGGGAAGTGCTCCTCAAAAGCCATATGAATTTAAGGAAACAATTCCAAATATCCTTGAAGAGTATTTTGTTTCTCTTAGGCTATTATTCGCTTTTCTCCTCTCCATAACCTTTGGGAGCTTCCTGGTAGGGAAGCATCAAGGAGAAGAAACTTCAATTTCTTGAATCTCTAGATGGAGTGAGACTTTAAAAACCTCTGAGTTTTGAAGCTAGATACATGTGTGAAACATACTAAGACTCTCAACTCTCAGACGACCTCCTCCTCCTCCTCCTGTTTTGGCCTACAAGATATCTTAACTCTTCTCTTCTCAAATCCCATCATTAAAGCTTTGAAAATTTCTTGTGTGGGTGCCATTTTAAATGCTTTCATGTGTTTTTAGAGTGATAAATCGAGCCAGCTTAGCCTAGCGGTTCCTTCGCAGACTGATAAATTGAGTATCAAATTTAAATTCAAAGTATTCCCCTTCTCTTCCTTTAAAGTTTAAGAGAAAGAGAGAGAATTTGCTGGTTGGCTTCTGAGAGTCTTCCTCTTGCTACTGGGTGAACTGCTGTGATGTCACTGAAGACAAGGAGGGATGGACAAACTCATGAACGCCAGAGCATAGCAAAAGCCTGCTAGGAGTACAAAAAATCTGGGGTTTGGGAAGCTCAACCAGGAGGAAGCAGAGGAAAGGTGAAGAATTGCAGGAAACTGCCAGAATGACTAGGGAAGCGTGGTTGCTCGTAAACTACCTAACTATAAGTCCACAGATAACTTGGTAAACTTCTGTGATGTCATAGAATTCGCAGGAGGCAAAGCCTTGTAGCTAATCTAGGGGCAGATGGGGGGGGGGGGTTCTGCAAAGAAAAACAGCTCAATTTATGGGACCTTGCCTATCACCTCTTAAGGTCCAGTGCCATTTCCTGAAAACAGAGCATAAGTGAAAATGTTATGCCCTGATCGTCGCCAGTCTAAAGGGTTGACTTTAACAAGAGTCAGCTTTCTGATAAGCTTTTGCAGGCTTCCAATTCAAATGGAGAAGTTCGGGATGTATTTCTAGCTAATGTATGTTCAGGATGTAGTTCTAGCTAAACTTGCAGATTAATGGCTTACCCAACACACACACACATGCACACTTTATTAATATTGCCTTATTAACCCAGGTTATTTTCTGGTAACTGGTTCATGTTTATACAAGAATAATATTGATTTTTTTAAGGATGTTTCAAAGTGCTTTGTAGTCTTTATCTCTCTCACTTTTCCTTGTAAGTTTCCTCCCTACCATTATCCCCGTACTGCAGAGGGGTGAGTTGACATTGAGCAAATGTTAGTTAAAAGCAGCCACTGGCACAGATGGCCCCAAATGCAGGGCATATCTGCTCCAGCCAACTGGTACAATGTAAGCAGCCTCATGGAACCTACTATAAATTAGCTCTTCATGCATAGTTTCCTTGACCTGGCAAACCACATTCTTGCCATGCTACCTGACAGTAGAAAAAAAAATCAATCTTCTATCTTTAGTTTTTCCACTTTAGCGGTGCAGAATTGGGGCTGGGATTTAAATGATCAGAACAGTATCTGGGGGACACCCAGTGGTGGGAAGAGCAACCTGTGAACAATCCAGTTGCATATCTCCCAATTGTCCCCTTGCTGCCCCAACTCCAAAGCTGTTTTTAATGCAAAAAAAGGAAAATACAGCTCTCTTTTCAACCTCTCCCACACTCAGTTCTAATGCAGAGGTGAGGAGAAAGAGAAGAGGATGTCCAAAAGAAAAAGAGATAGGATGTGTGTCAAAAAAAGAAAGGTTGGGTTCCCTGCCCACTTTTGCTCTAGCCCACCTCCTGCTCACTTAAACCATGCCCAGCATGTGATCTGCATACAGATTACTTCTGAGGGCCACATCCCTTGAGAGGATTTCTAGTAGAAATGGATCGGATCTGGGAAATGTTCATTTGCCACATTGCTATGATTAGGGCTGTTAGATGTTGGCTGCAGAAATTCAGATGACTGTTAGATGGAGACAAAGAAAGTTTCCTGGATGTCTTTTCTGCCATCTTGTGTTCTTCTGGGTTTTTGCAGCCCACATCTGGAAGCCCTGTTCAAGTTCAAAGGCTTGCAAGAGTTTTCAACTGTCAATGTCAGAGGCAAAACATATCACCCTAGTGGAGAAGATTGTGTCCCGGTGGCCCACTCAGTCTGCCTTCCAGGTCCTCAAGAGAAGACACTTCTACACAGAATATGATCCTATGGCAGCCCTTTCGAGAGAAGGCTGTCCTTTGGAAGACAAGCAGGTGAGTCATCAGGGCTTCAGTTTAGAAGACAGAGTTGTTCATCCCTACAGAAGCAGGAAAGGGGAGGCTGACTACAATTCTTCCTTTCGTAGACAACAGGTGGAGACTTGTCAAGGCAATGGCCTTTTAAGAGGAACCAATCAGTTTCATGGTAGGGCATATCTCAGGAACTTCTGAAGACAGCTTGTCTCTCAATAACCCCTTCTGCCTCTTCTCTCAGTGAAGGCCTGCAAGCTGAGTCGCTCTGTCTTTGTGCCCAGGCCGTTTTGCACCCACTTTCACTTCTGCATACACAACTTCAGCATCTGGCTGAACTTCCCTTTTGTGGAATCTGAGGTCAGCGTACGTCATATCACTCACTTGGTTGGTCAAAGAAGTGTGCTGTTGGCAAGATAGGGACAGAGGAAAGGTAGCATTATCTGTGATCGTAAAAGCAGCAGCCCCTCTAAACAGGAACAAAAACCACCATGAGTTCTGAGACTCCACAGACTGGAACTGGCTCTCAGAGACCATTTGTCAGAAACAGAAGCTGTGGTTCACATCACTTGCTTAACCTGGGTACTAAATTGACCCCATGATCTGGGATTATGCACTGAACCATAAACCACCCAAATATACAGGGTTTAGGCAATTGTAAGTCACCATCTTCCTCCTGCCCCCCCCCCCAATCCTACACAAAGTTAAAACAAATTAAGCTTTGCATATTGTGTGAATGCAGCCACTAGATTGAACATTGAGACGTGTCCAGGCATATAAACATATGTTCACCATCTTGAAGCAAGAGTTGAGAATGGATTCCCCAATCCAGGGATCAGCTTTTATTACTTGCAAAAATGTCTCTCCCTCCAGATGTGCTAGGGCTACAGCTGGGACATTATGGGATTTGTAGCCCCAACAATCCTAGAGGACAGTGGGTTGGTGCAGACTGACCTTGGAGATGATAGGACTGATGCTAAAATTGGGCTGCTGAGAAACAAGAAGAAATCTTTCATAGCAAGAACAAGCAAAGGTCAAGAGAAGTGAAGGAACAAGTCAATCCATTGAGTGAGTGAGCAAAAGAGGTGTCCTCAAGCTGTGGTTAAAAAAAAAAGTCAAGATGGCAGACATGACAGTGCGCTTGAAGCTCTGCCTGCACATTGTGAAGCAAAACGAATTCTAAAGGGCATCTTTTCTCTATCCTCAAAACAAGTCAACAAACTCAAGCATATTTCAGTGGTATGTGGGAATTACCTCGGGAGTCAGGAGGAAGAGCTAGAGACTAGACAATGGTCCGATAAGAGGCAGCTGAGCCCTCAGAAGGAATGGGAGCAAGGCAAATGTCTTGGAAGAGACCCTGCCTAGTTTCTTGGACCGTAAAGGCGATGGGGAAGAGTTGTACTTTCAGAGCTGCAAGATTCTGTTAATGTACCCTTACAATCAAGACAGAGCTAGTACTGCTGGGTGTGCTTCTTGTCTGGACTACCTCACAAGGCTGACAAATGTTCAGTAGTCCCATAAGTTACAAAAGTATGTAAACACTTTGTATGAAATTACAGTATGAAATTGCTGCTTCCTGAGAAATTGGAATGGGGTGGTTTCCCCACAAAAAGATAGAACTTCTGAGAAAAATATGAAAAATACACAAGGCAAACTATCAAAGTTTTTTTTTTTAATTTAATGGATAATTTGGAGCTTGTTGATGTATGGAGATATAAAAATGGTGACTCAAAAGGATATACTTATTTTTCTGACTTACATAGATCCTTTTCAAGAATAGATATGATTTGGATCTCTATTGAAGTATAAATGTTCATCTTGATGTTTTTGATGTTCATAAAGTGGAGACATTACCAAAGACTTTCTCAGACCACAATCCAGTGACTTTAACTTTCAAAAGGAAAAATGGCTCTTTTAGGTGGCGATTGAATGAGACACAAAAGGAAACAGTAACAGAGGATTGCAAAAAGAAGTTAAAAGAATAATCCTAATAAAGGCACAGAAATAAGAATGGTTTGGGATGCAAGCAAAGCTTTTGTAAGAGGATATTTTATACAACATAATAGTGGATTTAAAAAGAAAAGGCAAGAGAAAATATAGGTAATTTTGGATGAGATAAAAAAGGAAGAACAATTAAAGGACAACTATTACCCACCCAGTTAAGCTTCTATAGAAGCAACTATCTATGTTAACAGTGAGAAAGATAGAGATAAAGGTGAATTATGCAAAACAAAGAAATTTTGAATTTGCAAATAATCTGAGGAAGCTGCTGGCATATACTGTAATTTGTGAAAAGAAAAAGAAAAGAGTGATACTAAAGTTACAGGAAGGAAATAGCGTAATAACAGATAATGCAAATTTACAAAAAGTGTTTCATCAGTATTATTCTACTTTATATAAGGGTCAAGAAATTTCCTTGGAAAAAGCGGATGAATATTTACATAAATAGAATTTATCGAAGATCACAGAGGATCAGAGACAAATTTTGAATGGACCTATAACTAACTATAAGGGAAGTGTGTGAAGCTACTAAAAAAACTAAAACGGGAGGGGCACCTAGTCCAGATGGTCTGCTGGCTTCTTACTATAAATGTGTTGAGGATGAACTTTTATAACCTTTACAACAAACAATGAATATTATTTTACAGAATGGAAAGATTCCTGAAAGCTGGAAAGAAGCTGATATAGCATTAATACTTAACAAGGCCCAAGATCTGACTTTAACAAGAAATTATCGACCAATATCTTTACTAAATAATGACTATAAATTGTTTATGCTTTTGGCTGAAAGGTTGAAAATAATTTTACAGGACTTTATTCATGAAGATCAATGTGGGTTTTTACCTAAAAGACAAATATGAGATAATATTAGAAATGTTTTGGATATTCTGGAGCTTTTGGAGCAACACAATGAAAAACAGCCACTGTTGATCTTAGACGCACAGAAGGCCTTTGACAATTTGAACTGGATTTTCTTGTTTAGAGTTGTGGAACATGTGAACCTTGGAGATAATTTTATTAAATGGGTAAGTTTGATTTATACTTCAAAGAAAGCACAAATAATTGTTAATGGAGAACTAACAAAATCTTGTGAGATTCAAAAAGGGACAAGACAAGGATGCCCACTGTCTCCACTCTGGTTCATTTTAGTTTTTGAGGTACTGAATAGAGACCTAAGACAAGATGAGAGAATTGCAGGAGTTAAGAGGAATGTGGAAGTTAAGGGCATTTGCAGATGTTTTCGTTTCACACAATGCCTGTTTTGACAACTGATGTACCATTTCAAGCAATGACAAAAAGATATATCTAAATTTGTTGATTGTCTAATATTTGATTATTGGAAAATCAACAAGGGTAATATAAAATTAAATCAAGAGAGCAACTAATGCAGAAGGATATAGTTTACAGTTAACAGAAAGATTCAAAACAGATAAAAAGACTTATGGTATGGAGGAATGTAAGACAGAATTTGAAGTACAACTATGTACCGATGAGCAACATGTAATTGCTAAAATGTATAAACCTTTGTTGAAATTTGAAACGGAGGAAGAACAGATTAAAAAATGTATGATAGAGTGGGTTAAGAATTTTGGTTATTATATAACAGATGGATCAATGGGAAAATGTGTGGCTAAAAGGGTTAAAATTTACATTATGTTATGATGTTAAAGAGATTTTTTATAAAATGATGCATCGTTGGTACATGATGCCAGAGAAATTATCTAGAGTGTATAAAGGCACTTCAAATTTATGTTGGAAATGTGAACAACATGAAGGGACATTTTTATCATGCTTGGTGGACATGTAAAAAAGCTAAAAAAAATTGGATTCAAATACATACGTTAATGTAGAGGATTTGAAAGATTAATATTCAATTGAAGCCAGAACTTTTTCTTTTAGGATTGATGGATAAACAGTTAGAAAAAAGTCATGGAAGATTATTTCAGTATATGATTACTGTGTTGAGATTATTATTTGCACAAAGATGGAAAAATTCGGCATTACCCACCATGGGGGAATGGTTGGTGAAATTGACAGAATTTGCTGAGATAGACAAATTGACTTCTTTGATTAGACTAGAAACCCTTTATGGACTTTTCGTATTAGTTCTTATTATTGCTGTTAAAACTTTCAATAAAAATTATAAAAACCCACAAAAGTATATAAACATCAAGTAAATGCCAAGTGCAGGGAGGTACAGACCCCAGGGTGTCTTCATGATGAAACAATCATTTGATTTACCTTTCTGGCTTCTCTGCTTAAAGCAGGATTGACCTCTGAGGGGGTTCCTGAAGTTTCTACCAGAGTGAAAGGAACAGGAATGCAAAACAGTTATTCCCAAATGGGCATTAAATAATTATTTTGAAGGAGTCTGTGAGTGAACACCTCTGAGGATGGCCAATCCTGTCTGAAGTCCTCACTGGCCATCCTTTGTGAAATCTGGGGCTGAGCATCTTCCTTCTGAGAAGTTCATGCCTCACTAAGCTTTGGAGGGGATTTAATTGTGTGTTTTTTCCAATGAGCAAAGCAACCACCATCCATAAAGTACATGGGAAATGCCCTGACTTTGTGCATTTGTGCAAGTTTTCAGCAGGACAAATTGGTAAGGAAGGGCATCTATGGGGGCATCAAAAAGATTAAGACGGTGGTCATGACTGCACAGTCAAATCTCTGTCCTCTGAATTTGTTTGTTGGAAAAGGGGCCACCAGACTCCTCCCACTTTTATGCCACCACAGACTAACAAGGTTCTCCTCCTACTCCTCAGGATCATGGGAAGAGACCTATGGTTTGTTCCCCTTCTTCCAAAAATGTAAAAGCCTAAAAGTATAGCTGTGGAAGAAAGTCCCACCTTTGCCTTTCCTCTTGGATCTCCACACCACAACACCCAGCAGCAGCAAGAAGACGAGGGTCCCCACCGCTACTCCAATACCCACGGGGATTCCGACTCCACTCCCGATACTTTCAGGGGGCTGGCCTGGTTGCCTGCCATCAGCATTGACGTTGGCTTTCTGTGATGGCTTCTCACGTCCTGCTAAACAAGCAAAGTGAAATGTGCTGGTGATGATGGACAGCCTCGGAAGAGAAGCTTTATCTACTCCTCGGTCCAGAGGCACTCGCTGGGACTCTTAGAATTGTGAGCTCAACATCCTCGGAGGGGGCTAGGCTAGCAAACGTATGAAGCCCACAGCGATGACTGCTGATGTCCCACACGCCATCCCACATCTCATGCTAATTACATTGTTTGCATCATTTGCACAATAACATCACGACACGCAGGATGCCATCATGATTTCTACTGCACTACGTGCTCTGGTTTCCATGCCAACATTCTCCGTGAGGGGCAAATTTGTGACATAGCCCTGTATCAGAGGTATTTCTCACTGATCTCTGGAGAGAAATCAATGAAATCGGGTTCATTAAGCTCCAGTCTGATTGGTTTCATGTACCTAAAAGACTTCTGGTTGAAGTCATGCCATAATCAACCATCTACAGAATAACCTACAATGACCTGGGTTCACCAAACATGCGAAGCCACCAACTCTGGATTCCCATTACATCCTAGCAAAATATAGACAGTATGTGAAGCCAGTCATTGTCATCATCAGCAAGCTGAGGGGATGGGGAATGTTGAAATCTCTGATGCTAGGTAGTGGCAGCATTCACACAACATGCTGGACCTGATTATTGACTTAACCCAATTTGACCCCTTCTGGTCAGGTTCGCAAGCCATCTGGATTTATTTTATTCACAGATGTTACTATCTAATCAATGTAATCTTATTTTTCTGAACATGGCTAAGTTTTGTTTTACTATTTGTAAAATACATCACACCTTGACCACACCGTTATTGGGTTTTGCTCTGGTTTTTACTTTCTGACTTACAATCTATAACTTATTTTGTAGGTTCTTGTACAATATCTTGAATCATCAACTGACAAAATAGGTCAGACTACAGGTAGTCCTCATTTAGTGACTGCCTCATTTAGTGACTGTAGTTATGACAATGATGAAAAAGTAACTGTGACCAATCCTCACATCAACGACCTTCACAGGTATGCAAAGCAGTGTTTCTCAGTCTCAGCAACTTTAAGGTGTATGGACTTAAACTCCCAGAATTCCCCAGCCAGCATGGAAGTTGAAGTCCACTTCAGCTGAGGTTGCTGAGGTTGAAACACTGGTCTAGATATTTCACTGGGGCTCTAAGTCCTGCTCCAGCCAGAATTTCCTTGGATCACTCTACACCATTCCTTCCTAACTCCAGCTGTGTCTGTCTTCAGCTCTGCTTCTCATTCCCATAAGAAGGTGGGGAAATGGTTCTATTTACCAAGGACTGTCACCCTTGTGCCATTCCCCTGACCATATTTATCAACTTCACAGGTATAGTTTCCAGAGTCCTCCTTTTTGATGTTCCTCAAAAACAGAGAAGCCCGGCCTTTCAGAAAGGTAGTTGCATTTGTCATCAAACTCTTCTCTCCATCAGAGGCAGTCTTATACCATGTGACATCGGGGAGGTGTTTGGCTTCCTTCCCCTGGACTCTACAGTCTATAGTGAGGTTTTCCCCTTCTGTTGACTGGATGAAAGATGGTAACTGTATCACCAATAGATTTGCAACTGTGGGGGGAAAAAGACAATAGTTTCAACCATCTTGGTGTTCAACTCGGCTGAAGGCCAGAGGAAGGAAGGAAGCCCAGAGTAGAAGGTTGGGTTGATGCAAGCTGCATTTGTGAGATACCACCATCTGCAGATTTGAGTTGAACATGCTGAGACACAAGATTAGATAGATAGATAGATAGATAGATAGATAGATAGACAGACAGACAGACAGACAGACAGACAGACAGACAGACATAAGATATGATAGATGATACATACAGTTCTTTTTTAATGTTCCTGTTACCCACGCAGGCTCACTCTGGCATGTGGGTGGCCATATACATTGATGAAAGGAAGAGGGAGGGAGGGAGGGAGGAAGGAAGGAAGGAAGGAAGGAAGGAAGGAAGGAAGGAAGGAGGGGTAAGCCATAGGAGATGAGACTCCTTGGTCTCCTACGCAGCAGTTTCTGTGTTTTATTTCTTTAAAGAACTGTTTCCACATAGACTCATCAAAGAAGCACCCTGTATTCCGTTATGAGCAATCCAGAACATTGATTGGCTGGACTATCCACAGCAAGCCCATACCCATGTTCCAGACAGAGCAGCAAATATGTTTACATTTATTGCCTTATTTAGGTATTTATTTTGTTTCTTTGTCTTCATCACTTCATATACAGTAGCTGTCCATGTTACCAGAGCCAATCCAAGTAGCAAGCAGAAGTTAAGCACAACAATATAAATGACAAAGGGCAAAACAATACAGGTCCCACTAGGTGGCACTCCCTAATAGACGTGACCTGGAGCATGCCTCTCCTGCCAGGTCTAATGAACTTGGTAGAGAGAACTGGAGATAGGGGGTTCCTCAAACATCCTGGCCCTATGGTACAAAAGGCTCTATAGGTGATAACCAGCACCTTAAATTGCACTTAGAAACTTATTGGTAAGCAGTGCAGCCCACAAAGCAGGGCTGTTACATGGGAAAATCATAGTGGCCCACATCGATGCATACTGGGCCAATTTCTTCAAGGGCAGTCCATGTATAGCACATGGCAGTAACCCATTTGGCAGGTGACCAAAGCATGACTGACCATGTACCATGCCTCCTGGACCAGGAAAGGCCAAAATTGGTGCACAACATGAAGCTGCATAAAAAACCACCCTCTCATTAGCAGCCATCTGCTCCTCGAATAGGAGCTGTGAGCCCAGGAGGACCCCCAACTGCATACTGGTTCTGTCTGAGGTAGGGTAACAGAATTCAAGATGGAAGATCACCAGATGCAGGAAGCCCTAAGACCCAAAGCCCTTCAGCTTAGCCAGGGTTGAACTGAAGCTTGTTCTTCTCCATCCAAACCCCCACAGTCTCCAAATACCAAGACAGAATCTCAGCACCATCAGTGGGTTGCCTCAGGACAGAGATGTATAATTAGATGTCATCAGCATATGGATGATACTTCATCCTGTTCCATTGAATGACCTCCCCCAGTGTCTTCATGCTGATGTTAAATAGGAGTCGGGAGAGAGTTAAGCCCTGTGGCATCCCAAAAACAGGACCTGTGGGATGGACCTCTCCCCTCCAATAATGCCAACTGGAACCAGGCCAGAGAAAGGAAGGGAACCAGGGCAAGACCGTGTCTCCCATTCTCAACCCCCAGAGCTGGTCCAGAAATGCTACTGAAAGCTGCTGAGAGACCAAGAAGAGCAAGGATGGCTGCACTAACTCCATCCCACCTCCACAAGATGACTGATGCTGTGGTGAGCCTGGGCCTGAAACCCAACTGGAAGGGGTCCAGATAATCTCCAGGCTTCTCTGAAACTGACACACAACCACTTTCTCAACAACCTTCCCTAAAAAAGGCAAGGGTGAAAATTGTCCAGAATGGTGGGGTCTAGTAATGGCTTTTTGAGGAAGGGGCAGACCACCACCTACTTAAGCACTGGCAGAACCATCCCCTCTCTCAGGGACGCCTTCACCTATGCCAGAAGCCAACCACACCTCACCTCCTGGGAGGCCTTAGCCAACCAGGAGGGATGGATAAATAAATAAAATAAGAGGCAAGAGGCAAGAGGCAAGAAGCAAGAGACAAGAGACAAGAGGCAAGAGACAAGAGGCAAGAGACAAGAGACAAGAGACAAGAGACAAGAGACAAGAGACAAGAGACAAGAGACAAGAGACAAGAGACAAGATCCAATCTACTCTAAAGGCTTGGAATTTCCTTGTGCTTTCCCATCCAGGGATTAACCTACATGGTGATCTTTTTGAGATCAACCCAACTCATAATGCTGCTGCCCCTCGTTAGGATCTGTCCTTCAAAATACTGACTTGTATTTCTGCAGTTAAGTAGCGGGTGGTCAAGTCACTACAACACAGAAGGCTCCGACGTGACTAGCACATTTGTGCCTCAGGGTGTCGCTTGAACTCAGCCTACAAGGTTAGTTTGTGAATGACAGTGTTGTGGGACCGCAGGCAACCGGGTTAATTCATTAAACCATGGACCCTCTCACAGAAGATTCCTGCCACTTACCACGGATGTGAACGCGCGTTGCATTTCCCGACCCTATCCGGTTTCCGATCCTGACTGTACACACGTAGTTTCCCGAATCCTCCACTTTTGCATTCGTCAGCCTAAGAGTCTCTTCCGGGTTTAACTGCCTTGAGCCATTTGGGCTGCTGAGTTCCTGGCTGTCTTTATGCCATTTCACTTCCGTCTGGCTGAGGTTGGCAACTGTCCCAAAATGGCACCTAATGGTGACATTTGCCCCTTCGGTTTCGTTGACATGTTCCGGGGTCTGACTCACCACCACGTTGGGCCTTTCTGCAGAAAAAAGAGGTCGTAATTTGCATCTGCATCTAAGCCCCGCTTCGTAGCTAGAGCAAAGGAAATGGGACTGTAGAAATACCTCAAATGCCCCACAGTTATAACCCTTCCCCCCACACCAACACAATGCTGCAGCAGATAATGGATGAATGAATTAAGAATATTTTACCAACTAGGAAAGTTGGTCTTCTACTAAATCTGGTAACATATTTCAGAGTATTTTTATGCATGTACTTCTAAAAAGTACTTCTAAAGAGTTTAAAGAGTACCTTCTAATATAAAAAGTATATTAGAGAGCCAGTTTGGTGTAGTAATTAAGGCACCAGGCTAGAAGCTGGGAGACCAGGAGTTCTAGCCCCATCTTGGACACGAAGCCAGCTGGGTGACCTTCGGCCAGTCCCTCTCTCTCAGCCCTAGGAAGCAAGCAACGGCAAACCACTTCCAAAAATCTTATCAAGCAAATGCAGGGACTCGTCCAGGCAGTTGCCAGGAGTCAAAAACTGACTTGAGAGCACAATCAATCAATCAAATACAAAAAGTACAGCTTACAGGAACCAATCTTTCAGCTTCCTCTGAACTTCCCATCTCAACCGTCCTACACAAAGCAGGAAGACTGTGTTGAATTCGAAAGGCTCACTTGTTTCTAGGAGCTGAATGATTTCCCAAAAAATCTGGTGTCCTTCAGAGGACTTACAATGATTTATGGATTTGATGGTTGGGAAAGCACTAAACAAGGGGCCGAAGGGATTTTTATAATATTAAGGGGCGAGGTTGGATAATAAGTCTGTTAATTTCGGTTGCAAAGAAGGTCAGAAGTCACTTATTTTACTGACTTTAGTTCAGTAATGTCAGTAATGTCTCTTAGCTAGTCTTCTTTATACTATCTTTCCTTTTTCTCCTTTTTTCCCGCACTTTTTCCTCTTCTCTTTTTTTCCTGTTCTTTCTTCTATTTTTTCTTCTAGATTTGTCTTTTATTGCTTGACAAAATCTTTAATAAAACAATTCTATACGTAAAACACAAACTATAAGAATGTCAAGACCCCTCGGAGGCTAATGAGACTCCCAGGATGCACCCAGGTGGCTTTCTTGGTCCACAGGGGAAGGTTGAAAATGTCAAGATGGCAGCGCTGGGAGTCTGATCAAAGCTCTGTGTACTTTTTCCTGTGTGTCCCACTGTCACGGCCACCATCACGAGTACCCAGAGGACACCCTTGTTGGCAGCTGGACAGAAACGGTTTGCCAGTGACTTTTTCTGACTGCTAGGCTACAGCCATGAAACGTCCTGCAGATCCCTTACGCTGTATGGCTCCTGAGCCCAGCCAGGGCCCAAATGAGTCCTGCTGCTTTCGCAAGACTAACTAGACACTCCCAAATCCAGCTAAACTCCGACATCTCCATAGAACGGGCAACAGCAAGAGAATTCAAGTTTCCCCACTGCAAATAAATAAATAAATAAATAAATAGGCATATTTACCTGAAATTGTCACTTCTATCTTCGCATTTTGATCATTGTCTGCGTCACCAGTTTGACACTCATAGGTTCCAGAATCGGCAACTTTCGCTGCCTTCAGAATTAAGATACTAGATTTGTTCATTTCATTCACAATTACAGAAATTTGGGTTGAATTTTTAATCCGTTCTTTCTGTCCCATCTTCATCCATATTATATGCCACGACCTGGAAGCAACGTTGCCTTCCACCCTGCAACTCAACGTCACATCTGATCCTTCCATCACATTCACAAAAGGAGGTGTCTGAATCACAGAAAAGGGTGGAGGACTTCTCTTCTGATCATTCTCGGTGGAAGCTGAATAACAAACAGAAATATAATTACAAATTGAAATCTTAAAATGAAAACACTGTAGTAAATGACAGGGAAGCCCCTGGCTCACATTCATTGACAACCAGATAGGTCTGAATTTCAACCCCCTTGACTGATGTACGTGGGAACGACCTTGGGAGACAGGAGGAAGAGCTGCAGACAAGGCAACCATCACACGAAAGGTGCGTCAGCCCACAGAAGGAGGGAGGGCATAGGAAGCATCTCAAAGGGCCCCCTCTAGTTTTCTAGGGAGTAAAAGGAGAGGAGGCAGAAATTGCAAGATTCTGTTATTCTAACCTTGCAATAAAAATAGAGCTGGCCCTCCTAGTTCTGCTTGTTGTCTGGACTACCTTGCACGGCTAACACACCTGCATGAGGGAAAGCATCACAGACAAGGCCAGGTAGCCCAACCCCCTCCCTTTCTGCTAGAGAGAAAAATGATTTCTCTTTCTGAAACAAAGGCAGAAGTTGGGAACCACAGCTAAGAGAAAGAAAAGGGCACCTTTCAGGAAAAAAAGGTTCTCTAGAAATACTGCATAAGGTTACTTTTAATTTGACTGAGAGTATTTAAACCTAATTGACTGACTCTGGTGACTGCTGTGTTTATAGAAGAACAGTCCTTGGGAGGGTTTTTGTGCAACGAGACCCTCTTTGCATTAGAGCTGCCTCTAAACTAGGACCACCCTCTGGTCTGTCGGGAATTTATATTTTCCTCTCTATGTTCTTACTGGAATTTTTTTTTTAATTGTTGGCTGCACAGTCAGCCAGATGTTTAGACTGGATTTGGCATTTTTATCCACCTATCGAGTCCTTCCCAAGGACCTGGGATAGGCAGATGTTCTTGTCTGATGGTGTTAGAGGTACCATCACAGGATGTGAGCTGTTCCAAGAAAAGCTGCCTTTTGCCATTGACTGATGGCGAATTTGTCAATGCAGCTGGTCTTCAAGTGGTGCTCCAGATGTTTTGGGATTGCACCCGAGGCACCTATTACTGTTGGTTCTATCTTTGCTTTCTTTTGCCACAGTCGTTCTACTTCTATTTGCAGGTCTTTACATTTTGCGATTTTTCTCCAATTCTTTCTCTTCTCTTCTGCTGTCTCCAGGGATTGCAATGTCCACTATCCAGACTGTTTTGTCTTTCTTATCAACAGTTGTGAAATCTGGGGCGTTGCATAGCAGATGCTTGTCTGTTTGAACTCTAAAGTCCCAGAGCACTTTAGCTTCCTCATTTCCTATTACTTTGGCTGTTTTGTGGTCCCACCAGTTCTTGCTTCCAGGCAAACGGTATTTCTTGCAGATATTCATCATCATCATCATCATCATCATCATTTCAATTTGTATGGTTGCCCATCCCATCTAAGTGACTCTGGGTGGCTCACCACAGGTAAAAATAAAAAACAAGTTAAAAACCAATATGCAAGCATATAAGAACGGTCCATAATCAATTTAAAAAAATAAAATCATCAGGTGTCAAATTAAGCTCTCCATTTTGAAGGACTCTGATATCCATAAAGTGGTTAAATTGAACATTTCTGAATGTGATTAGAGAGTGAGTTCAGCTGACTTTCCTTTTGGGACTAACGGACAGGCGACTAGAAAAAAGTCAGGGACCTTTGTCTTTGTACATGACAATTGCAGTGAGATTTTGTACGCCCAAAGATGAAAAGATTTAGCATTACCCACAATGGAGGAACGATTGGTGAAAATGATGGAATTCGCTGAGATGGCCAAAGTGACTTCTTTGTACAGAGAAAAGACGATGTCTACATTTATGGCTGACTGGAAACCCCTTATAGACCTTTTGCATGAAATGGAAAAAAATGCAGTTATGGTGATTGTGGTTTTGATGACTAGAAAAAACATGGATAATAGAAAAAAGTGAACTTTTTTTGTAATCATAGAGTAAGGGTTAACTTTGTAATCATACTTATATTTTCTGCAAAGGACATCGGGTCTTAGGATTTTGGTTATTTTATTTCATTTCATTTCTGGCTTCCTTTTGAAACTTCCTCTTCCTTCATGGGTGGTGCTGCTTCCCCATATCATTTGGGACTTCTTATTCTGCTCTGGTTTCCCATCTCAAGTAGGGGCTTCATGTGGCTTCTGGAGCTCTGGAGCTCATGTGCATTACAATGGCATTGCACAAGTGACGAACATGACAAAATTCATGCCGTGTACAAGATGGTGTCAAGATGCATGTGACATCATGGATGATTGCACTGGATGACTCTGGCTCCCTTTCCCTTTCCCACCACCCATTCTGCTCATCCCTGCGGCTTCTAGAACGTGATCTTCGGTTGCATGACCCTTTGGCAATCGATTCCACTTTGCTTCGGTGCATTTTAGGAAAGGAAAGATGGTGGCCATAAAGGAGATGAAAACAGTCCTCAGGAACTGCTCCTCCCTCCTGCCAGCTCCCCAGAATTGTGATCCCTGGCAATTCCTTGCCTGTGCCATCTAGGAGCAGCAAAGCCTGCTTCAATTATGCACGACCAACAATTGGTTTACTGGATCACGTCCTGGGCCAGGGAGAAGAGTGACAGGGGATCTGCACCATTCTGGGTACCCCATTTCCAGAAAGGTGGAGGTTCAGTGGAGGGCAACAAAGCAGATACAGGGACTTGAAGGCAAGTCCAATCAGGGAGGCTGAAGAATCCAGGGATGTTCGCTCTGAAGGAAAGGAGACGCAATTCTGGTCCGTGACCGTAATAAAGATGATGATGATGATGATAGAAAAGGAGACTGTGGGAAGATCTGATGTCAGGGTTCAGGTACCATAGGAAGGTGGTGAGAAGCTTTTTCTACAGCTGCAGAAACTGGGACCAGGAAGAATGAGTGTAAGTTGCAGCTACCTAGTTTTTGTTGACCTATGAGGAAAAACTTGCTGATAGTAAAATCTGTACACCGGGGAAAGGCTCTGAAAGTTTTTAAGAAGAGGCTGGATGAACTCATTGGTTTTCTTCCACACTGCAGAGGGTTGACTAGATTGCCCTTGTGGTGCCTTCCAACTCTCCAGTTCTATGATGCATTCTTCTATGGATCCTGCTATGTTCTAATAGGAGAGGAGACACCACCGCACCATTTCTTTTTGAACCCATCACGTTACCACTCAAGGATCAAGTCTACTTCACAGAGGAAGAACTCTGAACTCCAGTTGACCCTATTCAGCAACTCACCATCTCCCAGTTTCCAGCCTGGCACTACACCAACCTGGCTCCCAGCCCTACTTTTGCCTACTGCCCAATCCTAACCCTAACCCCTCAAGGATGGCAGCAGAGCTTCTCCTCTCTATCCTCAAGATTGCAGCCCGCCTTACTTTTAAAATGATTTCTCCTATCCTGTTCCTGTTCTTAGAGGGAGGGGGCATTCGCCAAGCCACTGCTCCATCTCCGAGCTGAAATGGCGCAGCCCAGACGCCTGCCAATTTCATCTGCCACCTTTGCTCTGTGTGATGGGCCAGCTGGTTGCTGGGGCCACGTCGGATCTTTAGCCGTGTCTTACTTAAGGACAAGACAACTTACCTATGGAGAGGAGAGGCAAGAGCAGAACAATTCTGACCAGCTGGAGGCTCATGTTCTCTGACGCGGTTGAGATTTTCTGCCTGCTGCGGCCTTCAGCTCCACCATCCAGTCCCCTTGTGGGCAAAGCTGGGTGGACGAGGGCCGCTTCTCCGCGGGTTGGAACCGTCCACTCTCAGCCTTGGAGAAGTAGAGCAAACCCTGAGCTCGCGAGCCCTCCCTTTCACTTTGTCTCTTGCCACTCCCCATCACTGCCTCTAGTTCCTTTTTTTTTCTTCTTCTCACATTATCTTTTCCTGTTTGCCGTTCCCTTTTCTTGCCGCTATCTATTTCCTTCTTGACCAAAATTGCTGCTCCTTCCCTCTTGGTACCCAAATTAGAAGGCTGAACAAAACATCACAGAGAGCAGCAAGAAATGTTTGGGAGACGGTTCTGCGTAAGCCCGGTTGTAGCGGCTGCGCTTGAGTGAGATCAGGCATCCGAGACGGTAACCACACCCTGCTTCTCCACCAAAGGCGCAAGTCGACGCTCCTGCGGAAAAGGGCTTAAGCGATCCTAGCCACAAATATGGTTTCCTACCAAAGAGCCAAGGGAGCCAAAGACCTGCTCTTCCCCTGTCAACAGCGTCTCCTCCTTGTCTGGATTACAGATGGAAGAAGCATCCTTTTCATCCATGTTTCAGCGCAACCAATTTTTGCATTTTTCCACCCGCGCGTGAATCAAAACTCAGTGCGCTTTTCCAAATTCCCATTTTTCCGCATTTTGAAATGGAGATTGCCAGTGGAAAATAAGTATATTAAAGGAAAGCCTGTCTAAAAGTGCACGTGGTCATGAACGTGTTACCATAAAATAAAATCATGAAATTAGTGTACGGAAATGCATTGGGGAGTGAGGGAACCTGATTGCAAAAATGGGATATCGGGCTGCATCCCAACCAAAATGCACCTGCTGGGAGACATGTGCGCTGAAATACAGATAGATTTTACTGCAAACTGTTAATTAAAATCATTCTCAAGTTCACTAAAGGATCGACAAAAATACAAAACTAAGCAAAAGTGAAAATGAAAAGGAGTTATATCCCTACTTTTGATGAAATATCCCTTGGTTAGCCCACTTCCGGCCTTCACTGATCTTGGCTGTGACATGCAATGGGTAAATGCATTGTTTTTTTATCTGTACCACTTTGCACTTCCCCGACTGACGTGCAGATCAAAATATATTTACCATAATTTGATTTTACCACCGCAGAGCTGTTCCCTAAACAGAAAATGAAAAAAACAAAACAAAAAAACCCAGCTTATTTATCCAATTTCCTATACTATTATTCATCTTCCCCCCACTCTTTATTCAGGACACGTTTGGTCCTTGCAGACGTCCCCCACTCAAGAGGAAACGCCAGGGCCGCCTGACTAGGAATCGCCCCAGAAGGTTCTCCTGGGGCCACAGGAGGCAAGGATGCCGTGAGACTGCCAGGATTGGCTTGGCGCGGTTTCTTACAGCAGTTTTATAGGGTTCCCGCCTTGACCTGCAGTGCCCCCCGGTTCCGGCCCTTGCCCTCGCCCTGGGCTGCCCCTCTGTCCGTTGCGATCTTCCCTCCCCTCGCCTCGACGGGAGATGCAGCCGGTTTCTTCTAATTGGCTCCTGCTGCGAGTTAACTGCCCGCCCCCTGCCGGTCGTAACTGGAGGTTACGTTGTCTCCTTGCCCTATTGCCCGAGGCGGTGAAACTGACTAGAGGCTCGGTGAAACTGACCAACGGCCCTGCGCGGCAGTGTGTGCTTCCTAGGCTGAATCTGACCTAGCGTACTGTGCAGCATTTGCCATTTTGCTCGAAATAAGAAAATAATTTTTGGATGTTACTTTCACGCCGAGATGCACTTTTTGTGCAGACTTTTCTTCTATCTTTTTTTTTTTTTTTACTAGCAAATGACATTACACGTTTAGAAATGGGTTGAGATAAGTTAACTTGTTGAGATAAGCAGCTATACAACTTGATTAAATAAATAAATAAATAAATAAATAAATAAACCACATGACAGCTTATTCAGACAACCCATTAAGGCAATCCTTGGCTTTCTCTCATCCACCCTCCGACCCTGTTTTAACCCAGACTAGCACGCTGGGTAAACTCCGCAGCCATTAGAAGCAGAACAATACATATGTGAGCACGTACGGCTGCGCTGAGCCCTCTTCCCTCCCCTGCCTTTCCCTTCACTTTATATCTCTCCCTGAGCGGGACTGCAATGTCCATCCTCCCCAGCCAACACTACCAGGCTGGGGGATAAGAATGGCACGGCCAGCCTGGGGACCTCTGCTCCAGCCCAGGGTCCCTGTTCCTGACTCACTGCTGGTGCTGGAATCAGGAAGGAAGATGTAGTCAGAGACCCAAAGCGGTCGCTTGCGTCTTTGGGCTCTTCTGCAGAGCAGCGGGAAGTTCCTGTTTCCCTGCTGGGACGGCAGAAAGCAGGGCGATCCCTCTTCTGCAGAAGAGGGCTTGCTTCAGGTCAGCGTGGGGGCAGTCGCTGGCGGAGGGTGACCCACAAGTCAGCAGCTGGCAGCTCTGCAATGCCATGGAGTTCTGCAATGCCATGCCCTTCTCTCCCACTTCTTTACCCTCTTCTCACACCATGTGGGCAGGGTGGAGGGGAGAGAAGGAAGGGAAGCTGGCATCTTAATGCTATTTTTATTTTTTTCCCACTAGGGAAGGGAAACGGTGGATCTTCCGCTGGCATTCTTGCAGTACAGCCGGGCTTTCACCGCATGGTTATGACTCCCATATTGACTTTTTTGACCCCCCCTTTCAGAACCCCCCCCCCCAGGTGCACAATAGTCCTTTTAATATTTCTCAGTGAAGTGATGCTTTTTTAAACCAGGGACTATCTTGCTTTTGTGGAGACAGCGATTTAATTTCGACACGTGCATTCATAGGTCTCTCAGTAAGAAAACTGATATTAAGAAAATGTAGTTTGGATGGTGGAACCAACTGATCCAAAGCAGAGAACAGATTCTCAGCTCGGTGCTTGCCTGGACCCACGTGTGGGCAAAGGTTCTGGGATATCTAGGGAACAATTCGTGAGCAGAAGAGGGGCCTTTCGCCTTCCTACTGCCTGGCTTCACACAACAGAGTTCACTCATTTGGGGGCTTCGTACACACCTTGAGCCACAAAACAAGGGTGTCCACAGAGGAAGAAGTCAAAAAGTCAAGATGGAGGCTGCAACCATAAAAAAAAGATGCCGCTTTGATCACACAGTTGTGGCCATCTTCTTCATTGTTTTGAGCCCTGCCTGCAGATGGTCTGGCACAAACCAGCCAGATGGGCTGAGTTTGTATACAGATTAATCTCAAGAACAACCAAGGTTAAAGCAAACTTACCTATTACAGTGGCACCTCGGGTTACGAACACCTCTGTTAACGAGTTTTTTGGGTTACGACCAGCTCCGACCCCAAAAAATTTGCCTCGGGTTGTGACCAATTCGAGATGCAATCAGAGTCACGGAACGGATTAAGTTCGTAACCTGAGGTACCACTGTATATTGTGCAAAACCAGCCACTGGGTTTCCAATTGCCTAGATTTGGTTAGCTGTGTGAATCCCTGTGCTCTCATCTGCTCTAAAAAGCCCTTTTTAATTAGAATTTCCCCCCAGATCCAAGGTCCAAAAATAAGCTTGACTTTGGGAATAAAACAGCTCAGCCACCTCGCGTTCAGATTACTACATCGAACATCAGCTTGGGAATTCTCCTTTGCCCGGGAGACAAAAGATGCCCCTCTTTCGTTCCTCTGTCCACAGGGAAAAGTTTCCCATGGCAAACGTTTGGGTTTGGTTCTTGCCATCTTCAAGAAGCAGCAGAGCAGAAAAATGCCTTAGTTTAAAGCAGAGTTTTTCAAACTTGGCAACTTCAAGATGTGTGGGCTTCAACTCCCAGAATTCCCCATGCTGGCTGGGGAATTCTGGGAATTGAAGTCCACACATCTTAAAGTTGCCAAGTTTGAAAAACACTGGTTTAAAGACTCTGGGGAGCAATTTTTTTCAAGCAAAGATGAATTCTTCTAACTGAACAGCAGGGGGAGATAGGAGCCCTTGAGAAAAAATGTTCAATTTCTATTTTCCAAGTGTGCACGCTGAGTCCAATTTATTTTAAAATGTTAAATTTTAGTCAGGTAGAATAATGTAGTCTCCCAACCTAGTGTCCTCCAGAAGTGGAAAACATCAGTTCCCATCATGTCAACCTGCAAGGCCTTTTCTTCTCTCTGTGCCACTGTCTCATTTGTGTATAACAGATTGTCTGGAAAATGTAATTCCAAGTAGATCACGGTGATCAGCTGCAATCTAAGCCATTCACCTCTCAGCCCTTTTAGCATGCCTCTGATCTCCCTATATTCACACCATCAAAAAAATTTAGCTGATTTTCTTAGGGGGGAAGAACAAACAGGCGTTTTAATCTTCCATCAGTACATGGGGTCTTAAGTTTATTTTATATCTTTTAAACTCCTACTGCATTGAGAACTTTTGAGTCAGCTGATTGGAATGGTACAGAAGTCTGTGTGGATGTTTACAATGCACCTGTAAACTTACCCGATGACAGTGCTTCTCAACCTTGGCAACTTTAAGAGGTGTGGACTTCAACTGGCTGGCTGGGGAATTCTGGGAGTTGGTCCACACCTCTTAAAGTTGCCAAGGTTGAGAAACACTGCCCTACATTAATGATTATATTTACCATAAAAGTAAACTTCCACTCAAACCGGGACTGAAATTTCCAGCCCGATTCCTCTATTAAAATACTATATTTCTACTCTGGCCTCTTTGACCTTGGGCACAACTGAAAAGGTCTAATTCCTGGCTGCTAAAATTGTAGAAAGAGAGCTGTGTTAGTCTACAGGAGCCAAAAATCAGGAGTCTAGTAGCACCTTTTCTGACTAACCTGATTTTTGCATGCAAACCAACTTACCCTGGGTGAGTTGACTCTCAGCTGCCTACCAGTTGCAACACCCACAAAAACCTTCCAACTTTAAATTGGGTTGCTGAAAATAATCTTTGGAGAGAAACCAGCCGTAGATTTATGTGTGACTAAAGCTTGTGAGTTTCACACACAGCCCTGAGCTAAACATGTGCTTGGGGCATCCTGATCTTTAGTCCTTCCTGTTTGACAAATTGCTTGAATGGTGTCTTTTTGTATCAGGCTGTAAGTTGTGGAGATCTGGGTTGAAGTGGTGTAGCTTAACCCCAGAGATAAGGGCAACTTCATCCCTGTTAGCAGTTAGGAGGACCAGGAAGATCTGGTTCTTCCAGATGGTGTCTGAAGAAGGAAGTAAGTACTGTTTATTGTTCCCAAATAAGTGATGTCCTCTGTTTGCTGGGGAATAGACAGTACAATTATCATCTTTTGGGGTCTTAAGTTTATTTTATATCTTTTAAACCCCTACTGCATTGAGAACTTTTGAGTCAGCTGATTGGAATGGTATAGAAGTCTGTGGATGGATGGATGGATGGATGGATGGATGGATGGATGGATGGATGGATGTAAAGCCCAGATAGATCCCACAAAATGTAAAATCAGAGTTTCTAGTTAAGATGACCTTTGAGGAGTCTCTCAGATGATTTTGTGTGAGGGTTCTTAGTTGCAACATTGAAATGTGGTCAGGAAAAGGCTAAGGGCGCCAGTAGAGCACTTCAGATTAGTTTGATCAGCAAAGGGCTTTTGCAGATGGGCTGTCATCCCTTTCAGGTAGGCCAAGTTAGGAAACAGACACTACCAGGATTCCAGAAATCCTCCTTAGCTATTCATTTATTCCTTCTTCAGGGTCATCTGTGTGTTCCTTTACATGGCCTGACATTATTCAATGAACAAGGACTTCTAGAAAAGACTTCCATACTCACCACAAAGTCATCCAAACTCTGGGTGAAGAAACAATGAGAACGGAAGGGGCACAGCAGGAGCCGAATCGCTTTCTGCAAGGACTGTGGGATACACGAGATACGGGCATAGCCATCAGCACAGACAGTTCCAAGAGGAGACTGGAGAGATTCATGAGGGAGAGAACCAGCCACGGCTGATAGACTTGTCTACAGCCACCTGACCCGAAGGTAAGACTCCTTAAATGCTGGAGAGCTTCAACAGGCAAAAGGCATTGTCCTTCTGTCCTTGTTAGTGACTTTCCTGGATGCCTGTTTGCCCCTTGCATGGCTCAGAAACCTCTGTAGATCCAGCCTCAGGGTTCTCCTTTATTGGGTGGTCCAGGTAGTCTAACAGAAATCTAATGGAGGGAATACTGGAATCTCAGTGCTGTGAGATTCCACTTACAGGTGTATATAAATATGCTGATGATACCACGTCATTGTTTTGGTCCACCCCAACGTGCTCTTGCATTTCCATGCACCTGTGCATTCCGATGCCCAGAATGCACTCCATTAGACTGAGCCTTCATCAAATGGCTCATTAAGCTCATTATCTGTCATGATCACTAGAAAAGGTCATTTGCAGACCCAGCCTGGAAAGAGGTGACCTTCTGTTCAAACATGGATTCTTCCTGGTTCCTGGATTCTCTCTCCTTGACTTCTGTGTGTGCGAAGTACCCTTCCCACAGCCCGTATTTTCCTCCTGAACACAATTTCTCTAGGAAAAAAAAAGTCAGATGGAAGAATGGGGAAAGGTGAGAGGGGCTGGGGCGAGGGGCTGGAGGAATTCCATGTTCAGGGTGGCATTTTCTGCACCTCTTGTAAAACTGGCCAAATGAACCCCAGCAAATGAGCAATAAAAACATACCTGGCTGGGAACACTGCAGGACCTATTCCCAGGCTCCTGAATAGTGAAATTGACAGGGCTGCACAGTGAGCATGGATGCCCAACCTGGCTCTCCCCAACTCCTTGGCCCCCAGAAACTTCTCCTAAAGGTGCCAGTGAGTTGCCATGTTTAATGTAAATGGACACATGCAAAAAAGGAATGTGTTGCCCATATTTAATTCATTTCATCTGAATCGCTGTTTAATCACATTTCATTTTTCCTGGCCGCACCCATTGCTTTGTTCTGGCTTCAACTACTTTGGGGAGCGCAGGGGCTCACCTGCTGCTCAAAGGCCCATCACAGGCTTGGCCAGAAAGAGATAAACTCTTCCTCTTATCTCTCCTGGATTCAACCAGATATCTTCAGGAATTTCTGAAGGATCTGCGGATTGATGCAGTTTCCATCCTGTTCCTTCCTGGGGCTAGTCCAAATTGCCCAGAAATACTCCACTTGGCTCTCTGAGAAGCTTCTGAACAGCTGCAGCTTGATTCTGCTGGGAATCCCAGCTGTTCCACTCTGCCCTTCCCAACTCCGTGAGATGGAGTCATACTGGCCTTTGACCGCAGATGCTCCCAAAGACAGACGGTCTTAAGTGAGGAGAAGCTCTTTCCTGGGCAGATGTGCGTTTGTTCTCTGTCCGATTCTTGACTTTGCCCGATGGAACTCGATAGAGCAGATGCTGAGTCAGCAAGGCTTCTCCCATCCTCTTCCAGTTTCGCCCTATGCCCACCCTCAGGCTGGTTCCTCTTTCTTCGTCCAGGACCCCAAGCCAGGTGGAAGACAAGACAACCCCAGTGTGTTGTGCAAAGGCAGCTGTTGAGTCTCTGGCCGACTGTGGTCAGCATGTGTCCCATATAGTCCATATAGTGCTGTGTCACTATAAAAATCCTCCAGGGGTGCCAATCTTTCATTTTAAGCCTAACTGATGCATGTATGGGCTAAGAGGACTGGCATAAAGTCACAAGAAGCTCTTACCTTCTCAGCTGAAAGTTCCATCACATCTCAGGAATGAACTAACCTGCATGGGAGATAGTTTGAGTGTCTGCAGGGAGGGGGGGATCAAAAAGGTCAAGATGGTGCCCACAACCATGCAATTGAAGCCCCACCCCTTTTTAATATGTTTTATGATGCACATAAAACAGGGAGGGGCTTTGATCCCATGGTTGGGGCTGCCATCTTGATTTTTTTACCTATGTAGGCACCCCTGGGAGACAGTCTTTTGCAGAGGGGTCGCAGCAGGTGAGGAGAAGAGGGCGGCTCTTCCTCTGCCCCCAAAGCAGCCCTCTTGTTCTTGCCACTTCCCCCCACCTACTCCTGACCCAGTTGGGCTCCACTGGAGGTAACAGAAGCTTTTTCAAAATCCTCCTTGGCCCACTGAAAGGTGCTGTTGCAGGCTTTGGACCTGACAGAAAATTAGGTGGGTCAGTCTGTGTAAAGCAGTGTTCTTCAACCTTGGCAACTTTAAGATGCATGGTCTTTGACTCCCAGAATTCCATGCATGCTGGCTAGGGAATTTTGGGAGTTGAAGTCCACATGTCTTAAAGTTCCCAAGGTTGAAAAACCCTGGTGTAGAGCAAGCTGGATTCGGAGTCCAGAGCTGTTGACTTGTAGTCCTAACGCTTCTGGTGGGTGCCGAATTGGAAAGCTACTGAACAAGGAGAAGATTTCAGAAGCCCGTCCTGGCCTGGATGTCCCCTGGGACAGGGTCATCTTCTGAGTCCTTGGGCGAGCTGGTTGATTAACTGCCCGGTGAAGGATGCCCACACCTCCCTCCTCCCTTTCTTCCTCAGAGGCCTTCACGTCCACTTGACAGTTTCAAGGAACTTGGCTTCCCTCCTTTGGCTTGTTTATTTACTTAAAAGACTGGTATGGCCGCCCACTCAGGGCGGTTCTTTTGAAATTCACCACTGCAATGATCTATCCCAGGTTTGTTTTTTAGGGATAGAAGTGAGATTTTGACCAAAACTTCCTTTCTTTTTTTTTTGGAGACTTGAAAACCACTTGTGAAGTCTGCCAGTGATTCCTGGTGGGGGAACAGAAGAAAAACAAACTCCCTGCATTCCAAGGAATACCATGACCACAGAGAAAATAAAGAGCTGTCAAAACTTTATTTTCACTCAGATAGCTTATATCCCATTGCTCTTCCTTCAAATAAAGAAAGTAAATTACATTGGTCTGAAGATTCTACAAGCGATAAATATGAGGAAGTTTAAAATAAAGCCACAATAGCAAAACTGTTGACTGGAGAAACAGCATTCCTGGACTGCAGCTGGAGGACTTCTCTCAAGAGAAGCTGAAAAGACCCTCTGAGGGGGTCTCCCTGTGTAACCCCAAAGAAAGGGACCGCCCCCCTATGGCCAGTGCTGAGCACTGCCTTTGGGAACCAGAATAGCCGTTGATGGAACTACAGGTAGTCCTCATTCAGTGACCACAATTGGGACTAGCAACTTGGCTGTTAAGTGAAGTGGTCACTAAGTGAAACCACAACTGTGCTTATGATCTTACTTCAGCTTTCCTTTGCTTGACAGACCTACGAAGGTTGTCAGTGAGAGGATTGGTCACACAGTTACTTTTTCATCACTGTTGTAACTGTGAACGGCTGCTAAATGAGGTACTCGCTAAACGAGGACTACCTGTAAAGGAACAGGTTCTGCAATAAAGCCAGTTAGGGTGATAAGGAGGGATTCATTACGTTCATTCATACATTCTTGGAGATCCTACTATTGCAATATCCCAGCACTGGGGAAGCAAGACCCTGGATACAATTAGCAAATCCTGCACAACTCTTCTTATTTACCGGATTCCCTTGCCCATTGCACTCTGCTTGGCCCAACAACAAACTGTATGCAGGGCTGGGACAAGCAAGGACAACCATAGTTCCCAAAGAACTTTGGGGAGGAGGTTGAAGAGCAAGCCTATTTCCGACCATTTTCAACCTAGCTTAAATTTGCAAATTATATGTTCACATGCCCAAGCACACCAGTCCAACAGATACAACTCAGTGAAGCAGATAAGGGACAGAGAGAGGTCTTCCGTTTCAATCATCTCTTTTTCTCTGGGACGATCTTCAACACCCTCTGCATCCAACGTTCTTCACCACTGATGCACAATTCTCTGCCGGTCTTCATAATAAGCCTGCGGGGAAAAGAGAGAAGCAGATTTCAACCCTGAGCATTCCAGTGATGGCTTTCACTGGGAACTTGAATGAGCCCAGAAGGCACCAGGGCTCTTCTGAGAAAGCCCACCTCTGGCCCCCACTCATTAAGTGAAGGGAGAGGGAGATGGCACCCACCAGATCCAATGCCTCCATCAAAACTGGCCAAAGCAGCAGGTACCTTCGCAATACAAGCTCTGTCTTTTGTGGCATGGGTGTGACAGCACAGCGTGTATACAAAACAGGCAGAGATGTGACATAGGCACACCGTGTTCCTTTCCTCAGTCCCCCCTGCTGGTGCCTGTCTCACTTTTAGCCAGCCATACTCTCTCAGACCACCCCACCTCCTGGGTTTGGGTTGTGGTAGGCAGAGGGAGCAGTTCAGATGCTCCAGACTGAAAGCTGGATTGGAGGTCTAACAAACTGTGGTGTCCTCGGGGTTCTCTGAGCTTGGTTGTTTTCTTGCAAACATTTCGCTACCTGGCTAGGTCACATCTTCAGTGCTAGAATGGGATGGGGTTGGCAAACGTTTTGATACTTACACTGTAGCATTCAAGCTACACTTTGCAGCAGTTCTCCTGTAGGCTGATATTCCTTTTACGGCAAGGGGTTTTCCTTCCCTAAAAGAGAAGCAACATTCTTCTGGACAGAGGGGGCATCTTCCTAAAGATCAAAGGGAAAAGGAAGGGAATGAAAGTTGCTGCCATACAACCCCTGGAATTATCCAGACCTCAGGAATTAAAGACAATTGACATAGGAAGGGCAGCCTAATTCATTATCAGAGGCTCTTGGAAAGCTAAATTTACACACTGATTCGAAGTAATGGATTGCCAATACAAGCTATTTGTCATCATTTGAATTAGACCATTTTTTTCAACAGAAAACATGGAGAACTTTCAAGGAGTCTTAAATTTACTTGAGGGTTTTTGTTGTAGTTGTTTGGTTTTTGAAAAAGAGATATTCCTGTCTCAGAATGTGGATTGTTAATTGTTAACTCAAATGGAATGGCTCATTAATATTCTCGAAATATCCGCATCTGATATTTCACCAGCATTGCACTAATATGTTTTGCTTGTTCGATAAAGAAGGAAAGAACTCAAGAAAAACTTTTCTCAGTATTGTATTGACTGTACAGCCTCACTGAAAATATGCCTAGTTGTTCATTTAATTTAATTTAATTTAATTT